CATCTACTCTTAAAGAGAGTCTTGTTCTTGAGTGTTTAGTGTTGTATACACATTAAGGGAAGCTTGTTTCCCTTGGTTGTACGAAGGAAAGGTATTTTCCTTCGGGTTGAAGTCTTGGAGTGCGGTATCTCCGAGCAAGTGTATTGAGGCTCGTGGGACTCGAGTTCTCAGGTTGTAACGGTTTGTTAAGCACCCGTAAGCTTAACGGAAGTAGTGTAGCTTGAGAGAGTCTCTCGGGAGGCTGGATTAGCCACAAGTTGTGGTGAACCAGGGTAAATCTTGGTGTGCTCCCTTTACTCCTTTTTATTCCGCTCTTTACTTTATCCCTGCGATTTTTATTCCGCAAAAATTTATAAACATTCTTGTGCCTCACTATTCACCCCCCCTCTAGTGAAGGGCACTTATTCTAACAAACCCAACGGAGGCCAACCATGTAATAGCCCAGGAAGCTAATGCCAGGTTGCTCCTAGCCACCCACAAAGAAGTTGTCTATTGGAAACAACAAGCTAATGCCAAATGGCTAGAACATGGGAATATGATTTCCAAGGTCTTCCATGCTTTTGCCAATGGCAAGAGAAGGAAGCTTGCTATCAATCATATTATTTCTCCTTCCGGTATCGTGCTATCAGATAGTTCATTCCAAGATTCGTGATGCGGCAATAACCCATTTTTCCAGGCAGTTCATGGCCCCTTCCGAACCACCCCCCTTGAACAACCTATCTCATATACCTTCCCTCCTTTCAGAGATGGACAACACCATGATTACTGCCCTCCCCACCTTGGAGGAGGTCAAAAATGCTGTTTGGGATCTAGACAGCAATAACGCCTCAGGACCAGACGGCTACAACGACCTTTTCTTTAGAACCACTTGGGATATCCTCAAGGAAGACATGCTTAAATCCTCCCAAGAGTTCTTCTTAGGGTTTTCCATCCCCCATACTTTTAAAAGCACCCTTATTACTTTAATCCCTAAGAAGGATTGCCCCAAAAGCTTCGGCGACTACAGGCCCATTTCCTTGAGTACTTTTATGAGCAAAGTTAATACAAAAATTTTAGCTTGCAGGTTAAAAACCATCCTCCCTAAGATTATCTCCAACAATCAAGCGGCGTTTCAAAAAGGGAAGTGCATGTCTGACAACATTCTCCTCGCTATGGAAGCTTTGCACAACTTGAACAGGAAAACATTTGGAGGAAACATCATGGTTAAAATTGACATGGCAAAGGCGTTTGACACCGTTCGGTGGGACTACCTGGAGGCGGTTCTTCTTTAGTTCGGTTTTAGCAACAAAGCAGCTTGCCTTCTCATGCTAACCTAAGAGGCAATATGCTCTCAGTCCTCATTAACGGGCAACCTGCGGGCTACTTTCCCATGACTAGGGGTGTCAAGCAAGGCGACCCTCTTTCGCCTCTTCTTTTCCTTATTGCAAGTGAAGGTTTGTCTCGGCTACTTAACAGAAGCATGGAGGAATCCCATATCCACCTTTACAACATGGGAAGTGTGAAATTTATAGGCCACCTCACCTATGCCGATGACATAATGATCTTTACTAAAGGTGACTCCATCAAGCTACTCAAACTCAGGAAGCTGCTCGATCAATACTCTTCCGATTCTGGTCAGGTCATTAATTCAGCCAAGAGCAAGTTCTACGTCAAGGAAACCACAAATAGTACCCACTTACAGAACATGGAAAAAATCCTAGGCATGCATATAGGAACCTTACCCTTCACCTACCTTGGAGCTCCCATCTGCAAAGGGCAACTTAAAAAACACCACTGTTGTAACACCCGCCTTCCATGGAACCGGTTCACCCGCGACCCGACAGACCGGCAGGGTTACAAGGACCGTCCGAGAACCGTCTGTTACAAAAACATTAATGATTATCTAATAAGGAAACGGTTGTGTTTTAATTAGGGAATAAATGCCAAGGAGTTACTCCCAAAGCATGTGTAGTAAATGTGCAGAGTAAATGCGGAAGTAGATAAATAAGTCCAGTCCAAATTAAATAATGACAAGGGTGGGTTCATGCCCAATTGATTAATGAAGTTATTGAAAGTAGTTAAGAGTTCGTCCGTGCGCCGCCCATCTCCCCATCGTCACTGCTCTCCAGGGTTGGCACCTGCTCCGTCATGTCTACCTGCGTGTAGCAAAAACAACTACACGCTCAGCAAAAGCTGAGGAGTGAATCTAACAAAAGAACATTAAGTGATAACCCATATGGCTATACCCATATCAATACCTGTACTTAACGTACAGGAAACCACACGTTACTAACTGTTTAGTTTTCACCTGTTAAAGCTATTTCGAATAACAAGGAACATACATGATGATGATATGACTTGATGCATGACTTAAACTATCAGGGACACCCCTGGCTTAGTCTCACTCGACAGGATCACCCCTGCACTCCGGTCATCGTCCCCGAACGGTAACGAGCCGGGCACGACGAAAATATCGCGAGTGGACTAGCAAAACCGGGTAGTAGCCGTAACCTAACTACTATGTACGTACACAAGCCCAACATGATGAAAACCCATTGGTCCCCAAAGGTTCTTGGACGGGCCCACTGTAGTAGGCGCACGAAATCCTCCCTAG